CACACAGAAGAGGAATATTTGGGACAGAGGACCTCCTTGTTGGGCTTGTCCATCTTGTCTCACACAGAAGAGGAATATTTGGGACAGAGGACCTCCTTGTTGGGCTTGTCCATCTTGTCTCACACAGAAGAGGGATATTTGGGACAGAGGACCTCCTTGTTGGGCTTGTCCATCTTGTCTCACACAGAAGAGGAATATTTGGGACAGATGACCTCCTTGTTGGGCTTGTCCATCTTGTCTCACACAGAAGAGGAATATTTGGGACAGAGGACCTCCTTGTTGGGCTTGTCCATCTTGTCTCACACAGAAGAGGAATATTTGGGACAGAGGACCTCCTTGTTGGGCTTGTCCATCTTGTCTCACACAGAAGAGGAATATTTGGGACAGAGGACCTCCTTGTTGGGCTTGTCCATCTTGTCTCACACAGAAGAGGAATATTTGGGACAGATGACCTCCTTGTTGGGCTTGTCCATCTTGTCTCACACAGAAGAGGAATATTTGGGACAGATGACCTCCTTGTTGGGCTTGTCCATCTTGTCTCACACAGAAGAGGAATATTTGGGACAGAGGACCTCCTTGTTGGGCTTGTCCATCTTGTCTCACACAGAAGAGGAATATTTGGGACAGAGGACCTCCTTGTTGGGCTTGTCCATCTTGTCTCACACAGAAGAGGAATATTTGGGACAGATGACCTCCTTGTTGGGCTTGTCCATCTTGTCTCACACAGAAGAGGAATATTTGGGACAGAGGACCTCCTTGTTGGGCTTGTCCATCTTGTCTCACACAGAAGAGGAATATTTGGGACAGAGGACCTCCTTGTTGGGCTTGTCCATCTTGTCTCACACAGAAGAGGAATATTGGGGACAGAGGACCTCCTTGTTGGGCTTTCACGAAAAAATGTAATAATTGCTTTGATAGTACCAATAGTATTTCGTATCACTGCAACATTATTAAGATCATTTACTACGAGATTCAGTCTATGTGAGGCACAGTGAACAAAGGCAGCCTTGGGGTAAATACTTCAAATTTTTGCCTGAACACCATTTTCTTTTCCGGCCATTGTCGAGCACCCATCATAACCTTGACCCAGCAGATTATTAAGGTGAAGACCAAATGTTTTGCAATATTGAATAATACAATCAGATATCGTGGCGGCGTCCATATCTTTCAGTGGAGAAAATCCAAGGAATTCCTCACGAATCATAGCCTTCTCACTAACCGTGTCTACAAACCGGACTCCCAGTGACAACTGTTCTGTTCCTGAGGTATCTGCTGTTTCATCGGCTATGATCGAGAATCCAACAGCATTGTTGGCAGCTTTTACAATGTCTTCTCGCAGAGCTTGTTCAGACAAGTTGATCAAATCATTCTGCGTTCGGTGTGATGTGTAACGTGCATTTTCAGCAGCTGTATCAAAATGGTTTCTTAAAATACCTTCTCCTCCCTCAATTCGATACGCATAAAGTTGTTCGACATTTCCTTTGGTGCTATCTTTCCCACGAATTGCCAAATCATTTGTTCCGCAAAATAATATTGTTGAAATAATAGGATACAGTTTCTTTCTGTTCTCTTCAATAGTTCGTTTTACTGAATTATCTATCTGACAAATAATATCCTTATTTGGATCTCTAATGGTTGACGCGAAGTGTTCAGCATCTTGTTGAGACCCACGATGCCATGCTGAGCTGATATGGTTTCTGGCACATTCATTAAAATCTTTGTACTTTGTACAAGGAGTAGTAATGAAGGCACCTTGAAATCCTCTTTGAACTGGTTGCGGAAATAAAACACAGAAAATGCAAAAAGCACCTTTTAACCTAGGTGAATATGATAACCATGGAGTATACTGAGTCAGCCAAGATTCCCTGAAACAACGTTTTCCACTTCCAGACATGTCGCCTTCAAAATCATATGACGGGTGAGGCTTGTATGGATCAGTTAGCAAATGATACATAAGATCGATAGGAATCTTCGTAGTAGATTTTACATAGAGTCCAATGTCATAGGTTAACCTAGTATCTCCACTTTCAAGCTTGTCAGGGTCTGGTTTTGGTGATAGCGTTGCTGCTGCAGATGAACAAGCAACAGCATCACTTTTCCGTTTTTTGCAGACAGGAGTTAACGTTATTTATTCAACATCTGGAGTCGATTGCTGTGACTGTCTGAGTGGTTTTAAAAATTTCCGGATATCCATGACTCCTAAAACTAAAACTAGATCTAGATTAAAAATAAAACTAGATTAAAACTTAAACTAAAACTAAAACCCAACCAGTCTCCATAGACCTGGTAGAAAAGAAAATAAATACTAGTTAAGAAACAAAACACTTTAAAATAATATAACATAATTAACAAAATAAATTATGTTAATTTACAAATTAAAAAAATAAATTATGTTAATTTACAATATAACAAGCTTAGTAATTATAACTAAAGGAAAATAATCACAATAATTAGATTATTAAAGGCTTACAAAATAACTTTAACCACTCTTGCCACTGTATGTGCAAACAACCTCATTAATTATTCAAACATAGGAATGTACAATAAAACAAATGATTTCAGAGCACTTCCCCAAAGGTATCCTTAAGATTACTTTAGAAAGTCTCAATCAATCATTGTACAATCCTTTGTTATTGAATTTTCATCTTAATTTACTTAAAGTAAATAAGCACACTTAGATCTAACAACAGTAGTCTAGGTATTTAAAATTATTACAACTCATTTCACATGTAGCTCATACAAACTAAATTTATAACGAAATTAAAATAGATAATTTAGATATTTCTAATACTTTCTTTACCGCTAACACAAAGTGATTTAAAATAAAAGTTAAACTATTTGACTTTTTTCCAATTTAAACATCAACATTTTGACAAGTTTACACTGTACCTGGATAGCGGTATACTACTCTTAAACAATGAACTAACGTCCTTTAACATATTCGCCTTAAAAAATATACATAATAAAAATACTTATGTTCAAAACAACTTTTGGCTCACAACATACAGTGATACATAAAATAATTAATAT